AGTAGTAGTAGTAGTAGTAGTAGTAGTAGTAGCAGTAGCAGTAGCAGTAGTAGCAGCAGTAGCAGCAGCAGCAGCAGCAGCAGTAGTAGTCATAGTAGTAATCGTACTAGCACCAGGTACAGGGGATGGAGTAGGGAGGAGGAGGAACAGGAGAAGGAGGAGACGGAGGAGATAGTTGCGAATGAGGTCGTCGAGCAACACGATCATGGTGATGATGGTGGTGGTGGTCATACCGAGAAGGACGAGGCGCAGTAGGAGGAAGAGCGAAGCCGTCACATGCCGCGCATCTTGCGTCGACTAATTGAGGAGTTTTTAGTTGGCTTAGTTCGGTCATCTTGCCGTGTCGTGGGCTCCTGTGTTGTAGTCTTGGGAGTCTCCAAGGCCGTCGTGCGGCCCTCTTGGGCCGTCTTGGGGCTTTATGTGCCGTCTTGGTGCCCTATTTGAGTTCACTTGTGTCTGTCGTGGTGCTGGCGCCGTCTTGGGGCCGTCTTAAGGTCTTGGGTCTCTCCACAGGTCTTCTTGGGCCATCTTGAGGCTCTCTTGGGGTCGTCCTGGGCCGTCTAGGAGCCCTCTGCGAGCTCTCAGTGGGCTTCTTGGGATTTCTAAGATCGCAAGTGGGCCGATATTGGACCCAAGAGTGTGGAAAGCGAAACACATTGAACAACCCAAGGGCGAGTCAATGCTTTTGGCCTCCTGGTGGTCTCCTGCGAGCGCCCTGACGGTCTCTTGTAGCCTCTTGGAGGCCTCTTGCTTCTATTGGGCTCTTGGGTGCGTCTTGGGGCGATCTTGGGCCACATCTGCAGTTCTGGTGGCCTGCCTGGTCTGTATTTGAAGTCAGCTTGGGCATCTTCTGGACGCTCTGGGGAGCGGCTGGGAGGCGTCTGGGCGCGCAGGAAGCTTCGGGTGGGGGGTGGTGCATGTAGCGAAGGGCTGGGTGGGGTGCTCGGCATCGCTCGGACGTGTATATTTTTCCTCGGCGAGGAAAAACGCACGAAACCAACACACGCACGGGGAGTGGACGTCCAGGCGATGGCAAGGGTGTGGGGTTCTTGAAAGAAAGCTTGCCAGGCAGCCCTTGGCATCCTGCCACGCCTCGACGTGCGGTGGGGGCGTGGTGGCGGACTGAACGCCGTCTTCATGCAGGAGACCTTCACGGCGATCGAGATGGACAACAACATCATGGTGGAGAAGAAAAGGCGGGCCGACAAGGCTCACCGCAAGAAGATGGAGGCGCTGTTCAAGAAGGCGGACCGGAACGGAGACGGAGCCGTCGGCCGTCACGAGTTCGCGCACATCCTCCGTAGCCCCATCTGGGAGGCCCCCGTTCCCTGTACCTGGCCTGTGCGCTCCTCCCCGCCTCGAGGCCGAGGGTCTTTTCCCCACCTTTTGAAGGACAATCAACGACATCAACAGAACTGTCGGAGATTTGCGCCATGTTCCGAGAGTTTGTTTTTATGCATGTTTGGCCCTCTGACCTCGGGATGCGTTCTGGCAGCTGCGCCTCGCCAGGAGCGTTCTGGGGGTGCCCAGGGCGTCCCGAAAATCCGCCAAAGACCCGAATTACGATCCGAAGGCGAGACCCTGGCCCTCCTCCTCCCCTTCCTGCCCCATGCCCTGCTCTACCCTCCCTCTTTCCTCTCTTGGCCCTGCCCCCTCCCGTCTCCCCTAAACCCCACATGAAGCTTCCGAAAATCCCCCCCGCGACGGCGACCTTGACGCGGGAGTTCAAGGTTGAACGCCGCTGGTGACCCGAATCTGTCGCTTTTCTGCGCTGTCGGAAGAACCCCGATCGTTCAAGGTCGAACGACCCACGCGGTGTCAGAAACCAATGCGCACATTCTCACGACACGGACCTGCCGAAAGGAACGGAGCTCCCTGGTCGGGACATGGGGTGGAGGCCTCCCAGCCGTAATACGCACCTGGCTCGCTTCCATGAACCTGGACGTCAGCGACGGCGCCCTGGGGACGCCAACGCCAGACACCGCCGCCGACCCCGTTAGGATCCGTGCGCCCTGAGGAACCATTGCCGACGCCTTTGCCCCGCTGCGGGCCCCAGGAAATAGTCACAGATCGACCCGGACTCAACAAGCGAGGCAGACGAGGATCGAGGATCGGATCGGAAGGGTCAACGAAAGAGCTTCACAGGGGAGCTGCTGCCAGGGGTGTGCAGGACGACAAATTTCTCGCAGACCAGAAGGGCCCGCTGACGGGTCAAGAGGAGAGCCTTTACAGAGTATGATACGGAACGATATGAGAAACTCGGCGCAAACAGTCAAGCAGAGCACGGGACTATTGAAGTCTCGGACCGAAAGCATTTCCGAAAACGTAATAAAATAACGAACCACTAAAATTGTCCCCCTCCCTCCACTGAGTGGCACAAGCGGGGCGCGCCTGTGCCTGACCTGACGAACATGGCCAACATGCGGGCGGGGGCGGAAGCAGGACAGAGGAAAACAACATCTCCCCTCCATCACCCTCCTACTCGTCCCACCACTCCCCAATAACCTAAGATACCTGCAGCGGCAACTTCGAACCATATGTGCATGCCTGCCTGGGTCTTGTCCCTGGTCGCATGAGGCTGGAGCTCTTGTGGTGGCCCGAAAAGATTGATGGACTGAACTGGCAGCCTCCGAGCTTCTGATGCACGTTCTCTCTTCCTTCTGAGGGCTTCAGCACGATTGGCGGCTATCCGAGACAGGACAGCAGCCGATAATTGGGGTGGGGGTGGAGGAGGGGGGGAAGGGGGCGGAGTGGGCGGGGACGAACACCATGGGTCTTCCTGAGATTCGCTTGGCAACTCTGGGCGTGGCTCGCGATGCTCTGACTGGCCTGGACTCAACATTGCCTTGATCCTGGCAATGGAAACCTGGCGCACAGAACTCTTGCGTGCAAAATCTAGACCGATTGCTGGGGCATTGGTATCCATGGATGCGGAGGAGACCAAGACACGTAAGCACATCACATACAATTCCACTACTGGCTGTGACCATTCGAATGCACTTCCAACGTCGGCATAATGGTATCAAGACGATGTGACTTCTCACTGCACACAACGCTGGAGGATAGACCATCTAGTAGCTAGTGCTGCCTCCCCGCTCGCTCCGTGCCGCTGCCCGCTGCCGACGCCGCTGCCCAGCAGCAGTTGTATAAGGGTCAAGACGGGACCGCGCGCCGCCTGCTCGCGAGAGAAAGGGTTAGAGGAATGTGTATTGCCTGGCCTTTCTTCTCTTACATATTCCCTACCTAGGCTCTGCCTAGAAGGGTTCTTACTCTCTAGCTTAAAGGGGCCGGGCAGTGGAAAGCGCCCCAGGCGGTTCCCCCAGTCCCCGCCCCGCGGTTCCCCCCAGTCCCCTGGGAGCTTTAGCTTTAGCTTTAGCTTTAGCTTAGCTTTAGCTTAGCTGTAGCTTAGCTTTCGCTTAGCGTTTCGCTTAGCTTTTCGCTTAGCGTTTAGCTTAGCTTTAGCTTAGCTTTAGCTTAGCTTTAGCTTAGTTTTAGCTTAGCTGCAACTTAGCTTTAGCTTAGCTTTAGCTTAGCTTTAGCTTAGCTGTAGCTTAGCTTTAGCTGAGCTGTTGCTCAGCTTTAGCTTAGCTATAGCTTAGCTATAGCTTAGCTTTAGCTTAGCTTTAGCTTAGCTTTAGCTTAGCTGTGGCTTAGCTTTAGCTTAGCTTTAGTTTAGCTTTAGCTTAGCGTTACTGTTACTACTAATGCTGCTTTCCTAGGGGTTCCAACTCCTAGGTAGGGTCGCACTGGGATAATTTTTTCTTCGTTCCTGTATACCCATATCACTGCTGAGCGGGTCCATGATGCGCTTTGGGACCCAGATCGTGACAAGATCCGCCATACCAATTTCGCCGAGACGAGTGGTTCTCTGGCGAATGAGTGGTTTGCAACCGAGCTAATTAAACACGCAAGTGATGGACCAAACGCGTGGACGTCTGCATACCATCCCAGCGACGCGATCGTACATGCGGAAGATACTTGTTCCCTACCTAGGCTCTGCCTAGAAGGGTTCTTACTCTCTAGCTTAAAGGGGCCGGGCAGTGGAAAGCGCCCCGGGCGGTTCCCCCAGTCCCCGCCCCGCGGTTCCCCCAGTTGCGCCCCCTGGGTTCCCCTAGCTGAGCTTAGCTTAGCATAGCTTAGCTTAGCTCAGCTAAGCTTAGCTTAGCATAGCTTAGCTTAGCTTAGCTTTGCCTAACCTAGCTTAGCTTAGCTTAGCTTAGATTATCTCATATGAGCTTAGCTTAGCTTAGCTTAGCATGGCTTAGCTTGGCTTAGCTTAGCTTAGCCTAGCCTATCTTGGCTTAGCTTAGCTTAGCTTAGCATAGCTTAGTTTACCTTAGCTTAGCGCAGCACAGCGCAGCATAGCGCAGCGCAGCATTAGCACATCATATCATAGCATAGCATAGCCAAGCACAGCATAGCATAGCTCAGCATAGCATAGCATCGCATAGCATAGCATAACGCATCATAACACATCATAGCATCGCATTGCTTAGCATAGCACAGCGCAGCATAGCATAGCATAGCACATCATATCATACCATAGCATAGCCTAGCATGGCGCAGGATAGCACATCATAGCATGGCATAGCATACCATAGCGCATCATATCATATCATATCATAGCCTAGCATAGCACAGCATAGCGCAGCATAGCATAGCATAGCATAGCGTAGCGCCGCATATAATATCATATCATAGCATAGCATAGCGCAGCATCTCATAACATAGCATAGCCTCGCCCAACAGCGCCGCCGAGCGTACCCTAGCATAGCATAGCATAGCATAGCATAGCGCAGCATCGCGCAGCATCGCGCAGCATAGCAACGCATATCATAGCATAGCATAGCATAGCGCAGCATAGCGTAGCATAGCATAGCATAGCAACACAGCAAAGGCAAAGCAACAGCAGCAACAGCAAACCAACTGCAGCTGTCGGTGTAGATGTAGATGTTGCTTTCCTAAATGCTCCAACTCCTAGGTAGGGTTACGTTGGGATATTTTCAAATGAGAGATCTCGTCGCAAGCAATGTGGTTGGCATCCCCGCTGTGCACGTTTTCCGTTATCAGCTGTTCCTTTTTGTTCTTGCTACGGGCAGGGATCCAACGCTTGTGCACAAGAGGCATCTGCCATGCCTCGTGATGTACCACTCGTATAAAAAAAGCATACGCGTTAAGCCCGATATTTCGTTTATTCCCTACCTAGGCTCTGCCTAGAAGGATTCTTACTCTCTTAGCTTAAAGGGGCCGTGCACTGGAACACGCCCCGGGCGGTTCCCCCAGTCCCCTGGGAGCGGTTCCTCCCAGTCCCCCTGGGAGCTTTAGCTTTAGCTTTAGCTTAGCTGTAGCTTAGCTTTAGCTTAGCGTTTCGCTTAGCTTTTCGCTTAGCGTTTAGCTTAGCTTTAGCTTAGCTTTAGCTTAGCTTGAGCTTAGCTTGAGCTTAGCTGTAGCTGAGCTTTTCGCTTAGCGTTTAGCTTAGCTTTAGCTTAGATTTAGCTTAGCTTGAGCTTAGCTTTAGCTTAGCTTTAGCTTAGCTTTAGCTTAGCTTTAACTTAGCTTTAGCTTAGCTTTAGCTTAGCTGTAGCTTAGCTTTTCGCTTAGCGTTTAGCTTAGCTATAGCTTAGCTTTAGCTTAGCTTGAGCTTAGCTTTAGCTTAGCTTCAGCATAGCTTTAGCTTAGCTTTAGCTTAGCTGTGGCTTAGCTTTAGCTTAGCTTTAGCTTACCTTTAGCTTAGCTTTACCTTAGCGTTACTGTTACTACTAATGCTGCTTTCCTAGGGGTTCCAACTCCTAGGTAGGGTCGCACTGGGATAATCAAGAGTTGCGCGGTTCACGTAGTCTCTCAGGTAAATCATGAAACAAGCTGCGCAGGGGAAGCGCTTGGACCAAATCGTTATCAGACACCAGAGGGCGAAGTCATGGATGGCCGTTCCCCCTATCTGATTGCTGAAACGACGGAATTTTCGTTCGAGAAAATGTGACCTCGCAGTGGGAGTCAAGGCCGCAGGCCATACTTTGCGCCGACACTGTCTCGCCGCTGCGGCGGGGGGGAAGGAGATCCCCGTGAACGCCGCCCTTTGCAATTTAGACGGCGCCCCAATTCCAGGGGCAGCGTAGAATCGCGCGGGACATCCTCGGCAGGCATTTCAGTCAAAGACCGACGTTGGGCCAAACTGCCCGGGTGCCGCCCCGCTGCTGAGCATGGATGTCCTGGAAAGAGACGCCGGCCAGAAGGATCCTGTAAAGGCCCGTTTGCGCAGTGTGTTCGCGCGCCTGCATTCTCAACGGGCGATGGATCGAATGCCTGGACATGAAAGAACGCGAATGCCATCGCCTTGCGTTGTTGGAATGGCAGCCGGCAGACGCGGAGAAGAGGTTGGCGAGTGGAAAAGAACCGAAAGAAGATCTGATTGGGAAGGCGCAGGCTATCATTTCTGAATAAGACGAACATATTCAGAGCATGCGTTACGAATATGAGCCCATTTCAACGCGCAGCCAGGCAGGCGTAGCTGACTCAGAGAGTTACTTCGGAAGCAGCGCGCATATCTCCGTCAGAGGCTGAGCAGCGCAGGAAAGAGTTGGCATGGCTAACTGATGTGGAACTCGAGAGACAAAGCGCCGATAGGCAGAGGCAATGAATGGGTGCGAAGTGGGCGCGCGCAGCAGATGATGCATCTCGCTGAACAAGAGGTTGGAGAATTCCACAGATCGGCCGAGCACGTGCTGCAAGGGAAAGAAACTCAGGCTGCTGCCGCAATGCAGCGCGCGAGGGGAGAAGCCGGAGCGATGGCGCATCAGATGGGCCCCCAGGAACGCTGGGCCGCCGATTGCGCAGAACAAGCAGAGACAAGTGCAGCTGGCAAGCGAGGTTCTCGCGCGCCAGGAGGAAGCGCGCGACAACTTGCGATTCAAGAGTCCCGTGGCGCGGCCAAGTCTGATCTCGTCGTTGCCCTGGCTGCCGCGACGACAAATGGGAGCGCGTCTTTCGCGGGGAGTTGGCAGGGTGAGTGGAGCGGCGTCTGAGGGTCAGCTTCGGGGGCCGGGGGCCCCCTCCCACCGCGCTCTTGAAACAGGGCCGCAGCTGCGCGTTGCGACTGCTTCGGGTAACCG